TTTTATGATCATTTAATCATCTATTATTATTATTATTATTATTATTATTATTATTATTATTATTATTATTATTATTATTATTATTATTATTATTATTATTATTTTGTATTAGTTGATTTACAAAGTTTTAATTTCATTTAGTTCTCTCTCTTCATTTTTGTAATGATGAGAGAGAGAGGGAGGGACATTGAAGGACAGGGAGAGATTCCTTCACACAATCATAAATATTTGTCTTGTTTTACTGTACTTAAAGTATTAATATCTAAACACTGTAAACAATAAGTATAGGTTATACAACGAGGTGGAGGTATCTATGGCATTTATCATACCGAGGGCCGTAGGCCCGAGGTATGATAAGGCCATAGATACCGACACAGAGTTGTATAACCTATACGTCTACCATGTATTAAAATCATAGATATTATACACGGAACAATATATTCCGTATATTATATTCCGTATTATATATTCAATATATATATATATATATTCAATATATATATATATTCAATATAGAGCGGTTTCATATGACGTCACAAAATGCGTCATAATTACTTCCGTATGGCAAAATGGCTACTTTGCCATTCATTTGTACAGCGCTATAAACTCTTCTGGCAGGCTTCCTTAACTATGAGCATGGCTAATTCATGCTGCTCTTTCATTTTCCTAGACCCAGGGATGCAAAGGAAGCAAAAAGTCCTCGGATAGAGAACCAGCGAAGCGGCCGAAGTGAACATAATCTTGTCTTGTTACTCCTATAATTATTGCTATCGCTACTTTCCTGCTTACTACTGCTATAATTGTACTCCTTTTCTGCCTTGTGCTGTATGAAAGAAGTTCTAGAAGAAGCAACTTTACTGCTGTAAACGAATGAGGCTCATTAATTTTTGCCATACGGAAGTAATTATGACGTCAAAATGTGACGTCACTGCAACCGCTCTATATGTTCCGTGTATAATATCTATGCTAAAATAAACAACTAGTTTACTTAGCAACAGCATGGCAATGCATGCCTATTTTAGCAGGAGGTTAATAAGTAATTTCCCGGGCAAACTTATTAACCTCCTATTACCCGGGAAATTACTTATCAAACCTCCTAGTGGTAAATAAGTTATTTATGAACCTAAAATCAAGCAATCTGATTGGTCAATTGCAACTAGGCATGGTAGAATTACTGATTGTCGTGATTGAAGAAATTCAACGGTTGACCTTTGATTAATAATTGCAAAGTTCAATTGCATTCCATTGGTATCACGTGATGCAAAATGGCCAAATTCTTCCACTAATGCCACTTCTAACAATAGACCAGTTGGTGCTAAGTATATTCATAGAATTTTAAGTATATTCATTGTGATGCCGTAAATAAAGTAAAATTTTTCTTCCGCCATTTTGGAGTCCTACTTCCCAATGGATGTCTATGGAGCGATCGTGAAAAGAGCTTATTCTCCAAAAACTGCTGTATTTATTCGATACAGCAATATTGCTACTGCTTACTGACCATCATCCAGTGCCTAGAGTTGGCTCATGGACTTTAATACGTGCCACTAGAAGATATAGAAGCAAAGATATTACTTTCTCCCATTCTACTCTTAGTAACTAAGACTCCAAAATGGCGGTAGGAAAATTTTACTTTATTTACGGTATCACAATGAAATAATCAAAATTCTATGAATATACTTAGCACCAACTGGTCTATAATTTAGAGCATCAAGATAGAGTCAATGGGACTTTCATTAATTCACTAGAAACTATGATAGGTGCAGTAATTTTTAACATCTTAAACTAGCGAAGATTGATTTATCTGATGAAGTAAAGAAGAGAATCAATGTTAAGATGCACTGTCTCTTTCTTCTTCTTATATTCATGTCTATAACCAAAGAAGAAATTTTCTCCATACAATGGTGATTTTAACAACCGTCAAGGGTCGTCATAGATCTCTCTAGTTTCTGCAGTAGTAGCTAGTTTTGTGATACAATCATCAGAAAGCTGCCATTTTTCATCACGTGATACCAATGGAATGTAATTGAACTTTGCAATTATTGCTCAAAGGTCAACCGTGTCTTACCTCCTCTGATCAGCACCACCCGTCGGCACCCGATTTCTACATCACGTGATCCAGTGA